CGATCTAACAGGTATCCGATCAGTTTTGTGAAGAATTGCATTTTGTGTCCGACACAACCCCGAGGCCTTACCTTGACTGAAGTATTTGCGGCGTATAATCTCGTCTCCCTGCCCTACATGCAGAGGCTCTCTGAAGTGATCGCCCGGCAGCTGAATCGGTTCGGTATCTGCCCTGCCCACAGGCCAGTACCCTCACTGAGCGCAGAACCATCTCAAGTTGGGGATCCTATCCCCAAAGAGCGGCAAAAGTGCGATCTATCACATCCTGTGTGGCAATTGTTCCTCCGCGTATGGGGGCGATATGGGTCGACGTCTGGGCACTCATATTAATGAACACAAACTAGCTGCCGGTCGCCGTGACCCAGTGTCCCTCGTTCCTGTGCTTACATCCGAGTTCGACTCCCGATTCAACTAGGATAACGATGAGGTTGTCGCCATCGTCAACACAAAATGGGCCCGAGGATTCCTTAAGGCTTGGTACTCCAGTGCGAACAGTGACAACAGCCATGTTGACCTAGACTTGCATTATGAAGGTCTGCGATCACTACTCACTGAGCCCTGCTCCCATGCCGCATCAGTGACCGCTAATCCGGCCGCCCGTACACCCACTAACCTCCCATCCCTCCCCCTCCGGCACACTGGGCCGTAACTCTTATCCCCCCCGTCGCAGACAGGAACCAACCGTGACAATGTTCCCACCTCATTACTCACACACTTTAATGTTCTGCCTCAATGTCTTTCCTGTTGCGCCAATCGGTCTAGTATGGCAGCCGCACTTTCTCCATTTCGTCTGTCGGCGGGTCGGTGTTGCTAACTTGCAAATTCGATAGAACAATATGATTTTCCTCGATGAACCTCTTCCTTCCCATCATATCCCTTCAGGCATTTTAAGTCATGCTTTGAACTTGTACATATAGCACTGGAGAGTTAGTGGGGAGGGTAATGTCTGCGGTTTCCTAGAGGATGTCCTTCCCGTGAAGTGTAAGGCAATTGGCAAGAAAAATATTGGCAATAATAATATTTTCGAAACCTTGCAATGAGTAGCCGAGGTAAGATTGTACTATGTTTTTCGTTATAAACCAAACCATCATGGTGAATGAGTAAATGAAGCATATAAAGCTACCAGTCAGCCTGTGGTCCGATTTGACTATGCATCAAGTGGACAGCTATAATGGCGAACAAGGACATGCATAAATCTAGGGCCAATTTAATGCCGAATCCAGAAAGCATGGTGGACTATATCAGACGTAAGTGCCTTTCGAAAGAAATGGAATGTGACGAAAAAAGTCATCTTTATTATGGAAAAGGGTGCAATATCCTTTGCTAATAGTTGTCTGGGAGACTGCCACGGGAACTGTAAATTCAACCTTTCACTTTGTTCTTCAAACATACGTCGTGGGGGAATAGCGGTCCGGAACTTTGCTAATGCGTTTTTGAACGACTTATAATGGCACAGAACCTTGGCCTAACCAGTAAATTTATGACTTTCTTAGGGGGTTGAAGGCGGCATTTTTGACCTAATCCAAAATTCATGGCGCCCCCCCACCGTCGGGTTGTTCTACCTACAGTTATTTCCACACGCCTGTTGTGGGAGGCAGCAGTTCCGAATAAATTCTTTATAACCTGCCGTCTGCAATGTTGGCTGTTATGCATAAGACAATTACGTAGCTCTGGTTAGGACGTAGAGAACACCGCGCCTAGCGAGAAAGCCAATCAAAGCGAGCTATTGTATTTTTATTGAATCATCCTAGTGAATAACGGTCTTTTGACTTTCAATTTTCCATCCCAGTTCACCTACAGAGAAGGTTTTTAAAAAGTCTATCATTCTTATTATACAGCAAATTGCTTTAAAAGATCTAGACAACTGCGAAGAAAACCAGTATTAATAATGATATTTAATTGGTAAATTTTAATGATCAACAGTGTGTTTTGATTCAATTTTAGAAAAAACGCGCATATAGCCGCTTGATATTTACTTAGAATTTTTCAGTTTGACGGTTTTGTTACAGTCTTGTAACCATAAACGCAAAGTCACCTCCCTAGGTTTTTAAGTTTGCAAGCGATGTTAAAATAAATGGTGTGCGTAAACTCCATAAAAGTGGCCGAAAACGCAAAAAAGGCAGCCTGAATCGGGGTGGCAATAACGGTTGAGTATAAAAGAATATTATGTTTTAAGTTCAGACGTTTTTCTCCAAACGCTTACCAGTCGCGACTGTTGTTACGCCGTGAAAACGATCTCCATATCCTTGAAGAGAGGCGTAAACCATTAATTTCTTATGTATTTAATATAGGAAATTACGTTTATCCTGAAAATTTTTTTACGGCCATCGGTAGATTTGTTGTATGGCTTTTTATTTAATGGTCTTTAAGTCTGCTGCCAGGGCACACACCATTAGCCTTTTGGACAAGCAAAAGGGCAACAACAGGATAGTCTTTAAGCTGGACACAAAACCCAAATGATTTATGTTTGAATCTGAACGGTATCCCCTTGTCGATCTGCCGTTCAAATGAGTCCTTTTTAACTAAATAGCTTAAGAAGATCCAAATGATTACAAGATGAGAATTCATAGTGAATGCTTTGTAGCCTGGTAAGTTAAATATCCCTTAAGTTATACGAACCGAAGATTGATAAAAAATGGAGTGTCTAAGCTGAGATATTGCATTTAGGGGATTTAACTGGGTGACGGAACCGGCGCCCATCGACATCCAACATGCTTGTACGTATTAGGCTACTTGGTGTCCTCTACTACCAGAAATCTTATTGACGATATAGGACCACGAAAATGAGACGGGTATGTCCTCCGCTCCAAAATCAGTTTGCCAGTTAGAGGAACGACTTTTTATAAGTAGAAATACATAGAATGGCATTACCAACAAAGACAAGGAAGACTGAAATGGTCATTTCTGACTTGTTAGCCGTCTTCAGCCAGCCAGGCCAAACCCCGAGGCCTAGAACTCCTGGCACTCGATCCCGCAACCTGTTGGTTAGAAGCCCAACGCCTCTAATCACTGAGCCACGGACAAGCGAGTTCTGAAACAACGATCAGTGAGCGTCCCTCTACCACTCTATATTCCCGATCGCACCCGACAAAACAACGAACCCTTGACTCAGTAGTTAGGGACGTTGGATTTTTAGCTAAAAGGTCACGAGCTCGAGCCCCAGGTGTTCCACACCGCGGGGTTGGGTAGGGCTGACTGACGACAACTAATAGGCCAGAGGCGGCCATTCCATTCCCCTTTGTCTTGGTCGGTAATGCTATTCTGCCCACCTCATGCGCCGCTGTGCGGCTGCTAGTTGTTCTCGAGAGAGGGAGAGTTCTCAGACACAACGGAATGAGTGAGTTCCGTAAAAAAGATCCGTGGGCGCTTCTCTACAATTTTAGAAACAAATTTTGACAAAATGTGACTGAGAAATTTGAAAGTAAGGGGTACGCCTGCACCTGGGTAAATCTTTAGGAATTTTTATGCTGCGAGTTCGCGACAAAATGAAATATTCCCTCATTCATACACCGGAATTAATGAGAATGCACTTTTCCTAAGAAACTTGAGAAATTGAAGTAACCACACTTTGATTGGGGGTTCCAAAGTCGATAAAAAGTGTGTCATCTCGAAAACACTAATGAGTCCGTAGACGCAGTCTACTGAAGCAATTTAAGCGTGTGTTAAACACTTTTGTCTCTTTTACCTGACTTAGGTGACCGCATGTTTTAATACAAATAGATGTCAGCATCGACCAACACTAAGTAGGTTTCCGTCAAAAAGCACTTTTTATTCTTTAAACAACAGGATGTAAAATGTGGTTAAAGTTTGCTAATGTCGCATGAATGGTTGGCGTCGAATATGACGCAAACCGCTAATTTAACTTTAGGTGCGTCTTTAAGTTAAAATTCCGATTACCCGGTCGAGTTTGTAATATTTTCCAACGGAGAGCACAGATTCTTGGTCAGTTTGTATGCGATTGCGCGCTGGAAATGTATTGTGGGTACAACTGGCCACTGGCGTTGCCGGAAAAAAGCGATATCTATTCAAGTTGGTGGGATTTTATTTGTCTCCAGTTGTTTGCAAAGCCAGTTATATAGCACGTGGAAGGCCACAATACCATATATATATATATAGATGGTCTCCGAATTTCACGCGATTCTGAACTCTGTTTTTCCGGACATCCAGTTCACAATGGAGGCAGAAGTCAACAACCAGCTAGCGTTCATAGACGTCATGGTCCACCGCAAAACTAACGGAAGCCTAAGAACGACGGTATTCCGAAAGGCCACCAACACACGTCAGGTCCTCAGTTACTACAGTAACCACCCGTCGTGCCATAAACGTAGCTGTGTGCGGACTCTTTACAATAGGGCGGAAACTCACTACAGCGAGGCAGCCGACAAAGTAGCCGAACTTCATTATCTTCGGCAGATGTTCATCTCCAACGGTTACCCTCGTAGTTTCATCGAACGCAGCAGACAACCAAAGAAGGCTATAAGGTCAACGAGAGAACAACCAACAGTGTGGCGGGCGCTACCGTATATTGAGAATGTATCCGAAGCAGTCGCTCGTCTCTTACAACCACTGGGGATCGGCGTCGCCCACAGACCTGAAGCGACAATAAGACGTCTCGTCATGAGACCCAAGGCCCCTCTGTCACGAGGCGAAACAGCGAATGTCGTCTACCGTGTCCAGTGCAGTTCCTGTGAGGCGAACTACGTTGGAGAGACCGGAAAACGTCTACAAACCCGCATGAGTGAGCACGCAAAGGCAGTGAGAAGGATGGACCAACTCTCACTGGTGGCGGAACATTGTGCAGCCTTTGGGCACACTTTCGCCTTCCAGAAAGCCGAAATCCTAGGCCGAGGTACCGACCAGACAGCTAGGGAAACGCTCGAGGCCTGGCACACCGTACCAACCTCCATCAACCGCTGCACGATTCTCCCGGCAGCCTACCAGGCCCTACGAGTGCGGTTCAACCAACGGAATCAAAGGCAGGAAGTCAGCATCACAAGCCCAGGTGAACACAGTTCGCGCCCAAACACCGATGACGGGGACCAGCAGGCCGATAAAGGAGAAACAGGCAACGGGCCTGCAGCCACCGAGGTGCACACGGGCAGAGGCAAACGGGCGACAATTACGAGAAACGCGGGTCAGGCACAACAAATGCGGGCAATGCAGACGAGGTCAATGACCGCTGCCATCCCGACACAGCTCACCCGACGAGGAGACGCAGGAAGGGACCGACCAGCACGGCAGAAATTAGCTCCTCCCCCCGCAGCAGATCCTGCACGAATAGCAGTAGGAACGACAACACTCCCGCATGCTCAGCACCCATAAATACTGTGAGGCGCCATACAGAACCCAACTCCGACGATGGAAGCTTGTTTGCTTTTGAAACGTCAGGCTATTAAACCCATAGTTCCCGAGATCGCCTCTTCTTCTTCTCATTTATCCACCGGGACGCGCATTTTCGCTTTAGTTGGCAATATATGTATATATATATTGGTGTCGTATTTGCATGGACTTGTATTCCTTTGAATTATAGTGTGCGTACCATGTGTGAACCTAGGGAGATGGATAAATAACTGCATGTTTCGAACCACAGCCTGCACTTAAAGATTTTCTTAAAGTCTTCAAACCGCATAATATGCAATGTTTTTAAAAAAATTTTCTACGCCTCAGGGACATTAAATCTGGTTTAAGGCGGGTGTCAAACTCCATATATCTTCGACTCAAATACGATAGGATGAAATCTACTAAAAATTACGCATCAAGGTGGCCCGTTTTCCAAAATAACGGAACATGTTGAAATGAGTGTTCTCCCCTTTGACGTATGCATAACAGCTAAATAAACGCAGACTGTAAATACCAATATCGAAGCGTTATGAAACCACGATGTACCTAATTTTGCCTAATACCGGTTGTCAGACGTCCGTTCTACGCAATTTCACTAGGTTACCAGGTTTCATGCAAGCATGGAAGATATCTTTTCCATTGAAATGTATGTCTTCAGACTTTGATCAGCGGCTCATAAGTCGTAGCGATTATCGCAGCCATTGGCATTTGGCAGTCTGCTGTATTTTGCAGCTATCACCGTCAAAAATGGATGCGGTTTTCATCATGAAAAAGCAACTGGCGCTTCTGCTTCCAGATCCTACAGTATCCATAATTTAAAAAATGTCCCAGTATGAAATTACAGCCACACCCCTCGTGTGCCAAACAAATTTTTTACTACAAACCCGCCAAGGAACGTAGGGTGAACAGAAACGCGTGATCACAGCCAATAAAAACCGCCCAAGTAGCCATGGTGGTCATGGTGGTCTAGCTCAGTATTAAAGCCTTCCTTACAGACAACAGCCAGTATAGGATCGGCGGCCTGGATAAGAGCGTACAACTTACCTGCTTAGAAAGATTCCGTAATCTGAGAAAAACGAAGTGCTCACCTGATCAAGGAAATGGAATTACGGAAGTTTCGGAGAGCTTGACCGGTTCTCCTTTATCAAAGCGTTAAGTGCAAAAATCGACAAGAATTTTGAATAAAATGCCGTAGTAGTTGATCATGGGCTGATCGATTTTTTCCTCTTTCGCTGACTTGGCCCTCTGACTGTCGTTTGTGAATGTTGGTGGCCTCCTGCGTTGTGTATCATCACCTCAGTTGGAGTCGGTTGCGTTTGTGCCCCCCTTTTTGGGTAAATAAGTCGACGGACCGTGTTTGCTCGACATGCTTAGGCTCCGTGTGACCATCTCGTCCAGGTCACGGCGTATGTAATGACGTAGGACTTCATAGGCCGTAGGAGAGTCTAGGTGTCTGATGCCGGTCGACTAATTCACCCAAAAGGGGTGCATTAACGCAACCGACTCCAACTGAGGTGACGGCACACAACACAGGAGGCTACCAACATTCATAAACGACGGACAAAAGAGCCAAAGCAGCGAAAGACGAAAAACATTGATTAGCTCAGGGCCAACTAATTCGGCCGTTTGTTCAAAATTCTGGCCGACTTTGCACTAAACTCTTTGGTAATGGAGAGCCGGCCAAGCTCTCTGAAAGGTCAGCAATGCACCTTGATCCGGTGAGTAGTTCATTTTCTCAGATTATCGACCCTGATCTCTTACGTTTGTTTCACAATTTTTGAAAAAAGAGGACTGAAGGAAAAGTGCAAAAGGCATTAGCCAATCAGAACATTACACAAGCAGGAGTGACAAGGCAAAATCGATTTTTTTCGGCATGCTTAAATGTTAACTGTTTTGCACACTTACTTCACATCTGAAGACGACTTGGGGAACCAAGATCGAAAATTTACAATAAAACTTGTTTATCTTTCCCAAAGAGCTTATTTCTTTCGAATTATGATTCTTGGGATGCCTGTTTTCAAATTCATACGTATGAATTTTGATCGCGATGTTTTGCTAGAAGCCAGACAGTGGGAAAAATGTGCGATTCGCGAAAGTCTCACGCGAGAACAGTTATCGTTTTTACACAAATGCCGAACCAAGAGGATTTTGCCAAAATCTGTCGAAATAAAACCTGCCATTAGAACTACTCAAGGACATCAAATGGCCTTAAGTTACGGACAAAATATGCTTGGAGCCTTTATATCCAGTGCTCACTTCAGACTTCGGAAATTCCAAGCTTTTAAAGAACAGCATGCGCATTTATGCCGAAATAACCTCCCTTCAGAAGTAGTTGAATCTCTAAATGAAACGATTTCCTGTGTTTCCAACATCGAAAGACAGAAAAAGAGGAGTGTCTTAGACAAAAAGTGGATGGCCATCTCTCAACGAATTCCTCCAGACCAAACTTGCTCGAAAAAGGTAGTGACTCTGTCAGCAAGAAGACTTACAACGGCCGAAGAAAGTGTGCTTTCTAAGGGAATGAAATATAATCTCTCCGATGCGAAATACCTAGACTTCCTTGCAAACTTGGAGCCTATAATATCAGCAGAAAACATCACGGACGATGAACGTTTCACAATCCGGAATAGCACTGTACATGCCTTAACGAACCGAAATTCCTTTTCAGTACTATCGCACGAAGAAGGGAAGGCAATAAAAACACTAAGAAGTGACAAAAACATCATCATACTTTCTGCGGACAAAGGAGGATCAACTGCGATTTTAAACAAAGCAGACTACAACGAAAAGATGTTGTCATTATTGAAGGATAGATCAACGTACAAACTTCTTACCACGGACCCTATTAAAACGCAGAGTACGGCCATTGAAAAAGTTCTAAAACGTCTCACAGGAAAGAAACAAATATCAGGAGATATTGCCAAACCCTTACGACATACTGAACCAGCCATTGCAAAGATCTATGGACTACTTAATATTCACAAACCTGAAATACCACTGCGACCGATAGTATCGTCAAACGGTGCACCTAATTACAAGATTTCTAAATGGCTATTCCACAAACTCTATCCGTTGACAAAGGATTGTGAAACATCAATCAATAATTCAGCTCAGTTTCTGGACAAATTACAAGGACTGAGAATCGCAGCAGATGAAACAATGGTATCCTTCGATGTCGTTTCTCTGTTCACCTCCATACCATTGGACTTAGCAAGACAATGTACAGAGGAACGTCTCCAGTACTACGACATGGATATCCCTGCATCTGCTTTGTTAGAAATCTTAGACCTTTGTCTAGAAACGAACTTTTCAATTGTACAGGAATACTATCAACAGCTGAAGGGACCCCTATGGGATCACCCATCTCTGGTTTTCTCGTTGAAGTCACGATGCAGGAATTAGAGGCTGTCTCCTTACCACTAGTTAACCCCAAATTATGGGTACGATATGTTGATGACACGTTTGTCATTGTTAAAAGTGATCGACTAGAAATACTCCACAATATTATAAACTCAACACTTCCAGGAATCACATTCACACTCGAGAAGGAGGCTGACAACAAACTCCCGTTTCTTGATGTCCTCGTACAGAGAAAGCCTGACGGGACATTGCATACTTCGGTTTACCGCAAAGAAACCTACGCGGAAGTCCTTTTGCATTACGAGAGCAATCACCCGATTTCTCACAAACGGAGTGCCGTGAACAGCCTCCTTAACCGAGCAAGAACTCACTGCTCTGACAGCGAAACATATCAAACAGAATTGAAATATTTGTCCAAACTGTTTTCCCATAATGGTATCCTAGATATTTTGTACACCGATGCATGCGACACCAGGAGTTAAAAGAAAAAGAGAAGGAACTAGTTTGTTCCGATCAGGCGCCCAGATCAAAAAACTGGCGAACACTTCCGTACATTAAGAACGTGCCTGAACTAGTTGAAAGACACCTGAGGAAGCACCAAATACATGTCTCGCACAAGCCGACGACTAAACTTCGTAACCAGCTTGCACACCCTAAGGATAGGGTTGGCTATTTAGATAAGAAGGAAGTCGTATATAAGATACCACGCAGCACCTATAATGCAGTTTACTGTGGTCAAACTGGGAAATCGGCCTCTACGCGAATACACGAACATCAGTTGGCCGTAAAAAGGCGCGACCACTTGTCCCAAGTTGCCATGCATACGTTGGAAACGGGACGCAAATTCGCCTGGGACAGGACATGCATTGTAGGTGTCTGCTCATCCAAAAAGGGTCGTGAATTTTTAGAGGCCATCCATTCTGATAGCGCATGCATCAATCGACACGTAGAATTGGATACGGTGTACAACAGCCTCAATGAAAAGTGGAGAAGGCGTTATCCAATCAGAACATTACACAAGCAGGAGTGACAAGGCGAAATCGATTTTTTCGGCATGTTTAAATGTTAACTGTTTTGCACACTTACTTCACGTCTGAAGACGACTTGGGGAACCAGGATCGAAAATTTACAATAAAACTTGTTTATCTTTCCCAAAGAGCTTATTTCTTTCGAATTATGATTCTTGGGATGCCTGTTTTCAAATTTAGGTTTAATCTACAAAACAAACGACAAAAGCCCAAGTGGCATTTTAGGAAGCCCTAGTGATGCAGTAAACGAAGGGTAGCTTACACAAATGTCCACAAAATTTGCGGACAGTAGACAGATTATGAACTGTAGTAGCAATCTTCTGGCGGGAATTATTGAATGCCTCTTGAAAACCGCTCTCAACTGGAAAATCATTACCGCAATGAATAATCAAAATCTGAGAAGGCCCGTCGTCTCAGCGTCTCACGGTGCATCAGACGGTGATCATGACTGAGCCCAGAAACAACAAACGAAAGGTCGATGTTGAAGTTATGGCATGCTTTTGAAGACGAAGACAGGCTCTCCGGAAGAGGTTAATTTAAGTGCTGACGTTTCAAAGAGCTGGGTCGGCTCTTCCTTGTCCAAGCGTAAAATGC